TTTTTTTTTTTTTTTTTTTTTTTTTTTTGCTTTTTTCACTTCTCCTGCATTCAGAGATGATATAAATTCCAGAATAAATCTTGATTTCCGCTGAAAATCCACTTGCAGTTATTACAAGCAATAGGTTAACTATACTGAAAAAAAAATACAGGTACAATTAACTAAAACAACCAAAAATAATTGTACTTTATCTAAAGTTACATTTCACTTTGATAACCGTTTGATCACAGCAGCAGCAACAGCGACCGAGTATAAAACCAAGATAAAAACTTCACACCAAAATATAAACAAATACTTCTGATCTTCACAGAAAAAAAAATATACAAGAACAAAAACTGAAAGACCACTTAACTTTTCAAGTATTCAAAAACCTTCCAGAACATAGTCCACAGATAAAGATAATTTTGACAAAAGTTTAGTATTCAAAATTACGGCAAATTTCGAAATCATATTTGTTTTTAGCAATCGTGTAAATTTTCTTAGCCTTCAACAAGGCAGATAAATCAGTAGATTGGAAGTCATTCTGGATTAAGACAGCAAAAAACACGTTTACAGAACAATAACTGTTACAGACCGGAAAAATGGCAGTGTTTTACGGGACCGACAACAATGAAAGAGAGGCTTCACTAAGCAAATCACTGACTACCAATTAATCACAGGTGATATACTGATTACAAGAATCAAAAATCTTTCTGATCGTCTGTTGTTCCTTTTTTAAAGGTTGTACAGGTTAAAATCCTACTGAATTAAAAAGCACTATGCATTATAAGATGCCTCAATAAAGCATGTATATATATTTTATAATCAAAAAATTTAAAAATAAATAAAGTTTAATTACCTGAAGAACACTGTATAGCCAAAAACATAACGAAATATGTGATTTCAAACAAAAAAACAAAAAAAAAAAAAGAAGAAGATAATATAGATCTAACTAATAAGCCAATGAACCAAAGCTTAAGATTTTTTCGTAATTTCCACAGGTGGTACCAAAATAAATACAAAAAAAGTGAAATGACTCAGAAACCTAAACAACCCAATAAAAATATACATTTCTCAAGCAGTGGTATTAATCTTGGTTTCAGCACCGACGACTAATGCTGTAATTGCATAACCCGTATTTTTGCTGCATTGACTCTTACGTATCCCTTAGTTAATTCAGTTTTTGGTTACTAATTTAGCAAAGTAATGTTACCCAATAACAGTTTAACCGTAACAAACTTTTCTCTGAACAGTTTACACGCAGCAGTTTTACCTCGTTTGGTCAATGAGATTGTTTCGATTTTCCACTTAACTCAGACGTCATTCGTCTATATCACCAATACATAAATAATGACATAAATTTGTTATGCTATTCTAAATCTCCAGTCTTCCGTTGTCCAACAGGTGCTTAGACATAACTATATTTGTAAATCAGTTTATTGACGTTAAAACTATTTGGACACCCAATAAACGTTTAATAACACCGACAAAACAGTGATAAAACTGCTTGTCCAAAGTGATATATTTGATGACTTCAGACAAGCACAATGTTTTCAGAGGTCTAAGCCGTAAGTATTTAGAAACAACAGGCGACAACTATTAAAAATTGAAAAAAAGAAAGCTACAATAAAACTTCATCTTTTTATCCTCAATCTTTAGCCTGGTTGTTAGATAACAAAGAATTGTTTGCCAAAAACAACCATCCTATTTGAAAATAACAACACCTAAAGAGTAAGATATATTTTGATCTTAAAGAATATTAGCTCAAATTTTCATAATTCTTTATCTCTTATTGAAACAAATAAGCTTCATTAGAGAATAACACTTTGAATCGAAAAAAATAAAAAAATAAAAAATAACGACAACAACAATACCAATGAAATTCTCTCCACTTATTTTTTGACCTAGACTGTGTTTATGTGCAGTTAAAATCACATCTAACAAAAGCTAAATTCTGGTTTAAAAAGAAACTTGCAGATAAACTGACACCATATTTTACCAGTGACAACAGTTTTAGAATCATATTTCATTGTTCAACTCAAAACGACAACTTACAGCAAAAGATATTAAACTGAAAATGATAAATAGGAAAGAAAAAAAGCAAAAGATAAAAAATAAAAAATGGTAAAAAAAAATTGACAACTATTTTAAAAAGAATATATTCTGTTATAATAAACCGTAATTTTATGTTTTACACAAAATACTGTACAAATCTAAACAATTTCATAAAGAAACTAAATTTTTTCACAATTCATACATTGTTTTGACGATCTTAGACTTTTCAACCAACAACCTTCACTGGGAAACTGATTAACAACAAAATTCTAAACTGTTCTTTGGATAAATGCATAAGAAAAATCGTGGCACTAAACTTTATCTTATTAAAAATTTACGTTATTTTACAAAGTTCTCAATCTCTTTTTCAACTAATAAACAATCCTTAAATTATTTTCTATATGATATGTGTGATTTCAAATTCCATTAAAGTACAACTTTGTTTTTAACGAAGTTTTACAAAGGCATAATTCCCCATATAATTTCAAAAGCTTCAACTGATTAGACACAAACCTTAATAATGGCAGCAATCTTATAAAGCATATTAGACAACGATCTTTACCCATCTCTACTTTACTACTGATCCAACGTTCCATCACCACCAGGCAGACAAGCAACGAGCTGGCTTTCTGATGCCAATTTCTTCACAGCTGCTAACCGTACCCAAAAAGGTTTTGACAACGCCATTTTTTTCTTATATATTCTTTATTTTATATGCAAAGTGTAAGCCGAATAATATTGAGCTAAAAAAAAAAAACAAGAACTAGTATTCATTTTATGAACTCATAGAAGTTGCTTCCACTCTATTGAAATAATAACAACAGAAAACTTTTTGCATCCAAAAATATAGATTTCTGCGATAACTCCTTAAGTATTTTACAATAAGTTGTCGGTATATGCAAATCACACACTATTTAACCAAAGCAACACACAGTATCCATTTATAGAAAATGCTATAAAATTTCAACTTGAGACATATCATCTCTTTTTGTACCACAGAATTATTTCCAAACTATCACTGAATAGCACAGCTTCAATTGAACCTATATATTTTCAGCAGTACAGAAAAAAAAAGACAGAAATCCTTCTTGAAGAACTGAATATTTTTATAACCGAACTTCAAGTTCTAAAAGTTCAATCTAGAACTCACTTACAGATTAAATATCAATTTTTTCAAGGTTTGTTTCTTCACCATATTTTTGATAAATATATACCTTCGTCAACTACCTCTTTCACTTTTTTCCGTCCACCTTATCCTTTTCTTCTGTCCACATTCAATGACAACAACTTAACCTCAATTTTGCTATCCTTTGTTCTACGTCCTCAAGCTTCACTCGAAATTTGCCTTGCAAAACTCCACAGTTTACTAGTAGCTAATTAGAGCTAACAAAGACTCGCTACTTAAAATGAACTTACGCATCACATTAAATGACATGATTAAATCAGACATGCTTAGAAAGTAACAGAAAGCAAAGAATCATGACAATAAGCTTTCAATTCAATGATACATCCGTAACGCTAAAACTGTCATCAACCTCCCGTTCTCGCCCTCCCAACTTCCCGCTTCTCTATCATTAATATTGGGTGGTCAATTTTCTAACAGTTCATTATTGAACCAACAATTCTTCACAATTACCTTAACGACTGTGAACGTCAAGTGATTTTTCATACTTTCACTATCGATTACTAACATATGTTCGCTTGGCAAAAACTTCAAGTAGTTCTTTTTATCCTGTCTCAGTGTTTTCCGAGCTCAGCTAACACCAAAATATAATGTCTAAAAATTTTTCCAAAACTTTATAACAATTCAAATCTGCCTTATTATAACTCATTTTTTGCTCAAGCATAAATAAACATAGGAACACATAAAAATATGCACAAAACATAAGACTGGTTAATTAGCTGATTGTATAAAACTTCTAAAATTCTATAAATTCAGTTCATTCAGTCACAGTTCAGTTTTCACTTCCCAACAATTATTCCAAAACTGAGCAAAATTTCAAGCAAAAATTGAAGAGAAAAAAATCCACTTTTTTGCTGTCGTTTCTCTAAAACAATAAACAAAC